TATCTATCTATCTATCTATCTATCTATCTATCTATCTATCTATCTATCTATCTATCTATCTATCTATCTATCTATCTATCTATCTATCTATCTATCCATGTTTGCAGTCTTTTGGTCATGTAAAAAAACGGAATCTTTTTTTGGTGCAGGGATATTTACTTTGACAAAACTGTCTTAAAAATCTTTGCCAATCACTTGTGTTTGCCAGAGCAAACACAAGTGATTGAGGTGGCAGATTTCCTCAAAAAGATCCCTTTTCTGCTTTCATATCCTTTGCTCTTATGAAGAATGCAGAAGCAAACCCAAGTGTAACCAAAATAGAAAGACCAAAAAAAAAGAAGAAAGTTTTAAATTTACAGCTCAGATTATGCTGTGGTCCTTTGTCAGCCAGTCATCTGGATGGTGGCACAAAGCTTTCTGCGTACAAGCTATTTAAATGTCTTACAAGTTTGTTGAAGGGGGCCCGATTGTTAACTTGACTATGTGTTACTGTAAAGTAAACGTGCGCGGTAGGGTCGGCTTTTCATACTGCTGAAACATCTCATTAAATCTGGACCGCCTATTTTTATTTAATGCATTTTACAAGGTGTCAGAGCTCAACATGAGCCCTGACTCTGCTGCTCCGCTTTAGCTCGAGATGCTGCGTGCCGCTCGTTTTAACTAAAGAGCTCATCATCTGAAAGTTATAACCAGACTTAAATATTTACAATGAACCTAAACAAGTCCAAAATTATTACAGCAAGTTGTAAATTCTGCTGTCTAAGAGTCACTTTTTTCAGCCATGATACATTTTGCTTTGCTATTTCTGCTTTTGTTTTTAACTGAATCCAAGTCATATTCCAGTATACGGTATATGTTTATGGGGACAAAAGATACCTGAACTTGTGCAAAGTGCTCTAAACCGGTCTCATTGTGCCTCTATTGTATGGAAGCAATACACTCTGGTTCTAATCAGGCTTGGCTTTATCCTCACCCGCTCCCTGCTCCTCAGCCTAATCAAACTCATATATGCAGGCAGAGTGCCTGCAATTATACATAAGCCTCTGCCTTGTGCATGTGTGTGTAAGAGTGTGTGTGTGTGTGTGTGTGAGAAGAGAGAGAGCGAGCATTAGTATTTGGAAGCATGCGTGTGCCTGTGTGTGAATACAATTCTATATGTGCAAGTCTCCGTGTGCGTATGTGTTCCAGTTGTGCAAAAGTTTTTGCTCCCACCCACATGTGTGCGCAAGGGTGCGGTTTTGGGGGTTGAAGTCACCCTCGTGCTTGGATGCCAAGTTTTTCTGGGGGGGGGGATGAAGCTGTGCAACTTTACGAGACCTCAGCCTATGTAGCATACATAGAAACCTACACCACAAACGCACATGCATATAGTGTACAGTAGAGACAGACACACACACACTCACAGTTTCAGTGCATTCATGAACACAAATGTCTGTTGGTCAAAGATATATTGGCACAAACAACCAGAAAAAGAATTTCACCCAGAAGAAAAAGAGAGAAAAATCTAAATTGAAGTGAAAGAAAGTAAAACATATTGAGGTGTAGTGTTCTTTTCCCAAAGTCTCTCCTCTTTCCAAACCACACCCCACCACGGCACAGGCCCAAACCCCAAAGCTTTTGTCCGCTCTCTCGCTTTCCCTCTTTCTCTTTCTGTCTACCCCATTTTTTCTCTTTCTCAGTGGCTCTTTTTAGTGTCACTTTCTCCTTTTCTGTCTCATAATCTTCAGCTATTCTCCCTTTCTTTAGTTTCTTTCTTTCTTTTTTTTGCTGTCCTCATCACACACACACTCTCCCTTTCTGCTGCCTGATTTTACTGGTTGTCTTTGTTTCTGGCTTCAGTCTGACATTAGGTGTCCATCTCAGTATTCAACACAGGCACTTGGCTGCAACAAACAAACTATAGCAACCGACCGCAGGAGTTACAAAACACTGACGCTTGGGCTTTCTTTCCAAACTCTGCCTATAATCAAACAGTCAGGTCTCAACATCACCTTTGAAAGCCCCTCAAGCGCACAGGGATCTAGTGGTTTCTGAGACTACGCTTGCCATTAAAAAGCACATGAGAAAACCATATGGCGTGCCTAAAGTTAGCATGTTGCGGTCTCCCATTGACACACAGCACTACTCATATCCTTGTTGTTTACCAATGCCTGTGGCTAGGCCATTAAATATTGAATGTGATGTAGCATACTGATACTGCCATTAGCATGCTAAATGTGTGAGACAGGTGGTTGAGGCTGCCTTTCAAAAGGCAGGAAATATGTGAACAGAATATTGTGCAACTGTACCGTTTACTACGGCATACAGTGTAAATATTGTTTGAGTAAGCTGTTTACGTCTGCCTGCGAAGCGGCATGCCAGTCAAATGCATACAGGCATATGCAGTCAGAAAGACATGGCTGACCGGCCGCCACGGCTAACAAGCATATCATATACAGTGTGGATCCCAGAGACTATGGATCTGTTTGTAATGTGAGTGTGTATGCAGAGCACTGTGTTAGGCCTGCTGCTTTTTAAAAAAATGTGTTTACTATATGTCATACTCTGACGGCTTTGGATTGTGCATTTTTACCATATTTGTATTCAGCTGTAATAAAGACGTATAGATTTATTTTGCTGGGATTATGTCATAATTAGTTTGTTTTAAAAGTGGAAAATGGAACAAGTCATATTGAAGTGTGTAGGCCAAAAGAGCAATTTTCCAGGCAGTCTAGCAGTTATTGCCAAACTCATTCTGAAAGCTGATTTTTTTGGGGGGGGGAAATATTTGTGAAAATTACCATATGTATAACATGTAACCCAGGCAGTATCCTCCAGAAAAATTTCACTTTTATAACGTCAAGTATATTTTTCTTTGCTTTAACTGGCTTCTAACTTTTGCCCTGCACGTGACGCGTGTCCTCCACATGAATCTGCAACAAAACCAATTTTCTGCCAAGCCTAAATAATCCCTTATAAAAATACATGTCACGGAAAAGTTGACATTTTTAGGAAACATAGTGTTTTTGCAGGGCACTTTTGCCACATGTCAGCGCAACTGACAGATGAACTGAGAACATTCATGAAGACGTGTGGGAATTTTTGTGTGTGTGTGTGTGTGTGTGTGTGTGTGTGGAGGAAATGGACATATGAGCGAGCTAATAGCACAACGTCAACACAAAATGTGGATGTATTTTCTGAACACATTAATGGAACCCCAGAAACAAACATTCATCATGGCAAGAATGAAGGTAGCATAGTGTTTCCTATGCTGTGGTCGGACCATGTCAAATGAATGCACTAATGAGGCTTTTGTACTTTAAAAAAATCCTCCCCCCTACAAAAGAAAAACAGAGAGGGACTGGGTTCCTTTTTTGTTTTTTTGTGTCCAGGAAATATATCTTGGGACATCAATGCAATTAAAAGGACAGATACAGAGAGCTTGCAGTGTGTATGTATTTTGGGGATGTGTATACCCTATATGTATCAGACACGAGGAAACATTCAGGCATCCCTGGGCCTCTAGTGGGATCGTCGTTCACCAGGTAGGTGTCAGTAGCCTGAAAAACAGAGAAATAGTTATTCAGTTAAAATTGTTTCCATGTAGCTGAAAAGTCATGCTGCGAAATGTGGAACAAATACAGCACAGATTTTAGCCCAGCATATATTTTATATCATTATGATATTTATTAAATAAAATATTATAATTGGATTTCGTTGCTCTTTAATAACATATAGTACATTTAAGAAGTATTGCAACGTTTAAAGCAATCTCACAACACTCTGTTAATTTGTTTAAACCAGTGTAATTTAGATTGTGGCAAAACGAAATTGTGATTTTCCTTCCCTCCTCTTTGTGAGACGTAACCCTAAAATGTACCCGCTCCGTGTGAAACAGTCTTTTAACCCCAACTGGTTTCATTTCTCCACAGAAGCTCCACAACACTTGCACTATAAATCCCCAGTCAGATTGTCTGTAAGTACAAGGGTGTATGCATGCATATGTGTGTAGGTGTGCATTCAGGGAGCTTCATTTGTATTCTAAGTCAAGCAGGCAGGCGGGCAGGCAGGGTTCTGGCAGGGCCCGGAGCTGTGAAATAGGCTCTCCTTGCAGTTCTGCAGTTGATTGGATCAACCTATCCCACTCTACTTAGCCGAAGGGAGCCCAAATCCCACAGCCGCTGTGCCGTTCTGTGAAATCCTATTTCATTTCACAACTTTAACGGATAAAAAAGCATGCACACGCGCTTGTGCCAGCCCAAGACCCCATGCCACATTTATTCAGCGAACGGGAGCAGAGAGAAAACACTGCATGTGTGTGGAAATGCCGAAATGCACACGCATATAGTCTAACCCTCTTGAAAATATAATCGCCCATATGCATATACATTTTTTCCACACCCATGTTCACTCTGCCTCACGCGCAAACACACTGCAACACGTACCAGCGCACACACACACACCGATATACACGTGCATGCCACTTACGCAGACACACAGACACAAACCCCATAATAAGAGCCAGACGTTGGCAGACCACACAGCCCTGAGTTGTGGTGAAAACAAAGGCTATTCATATCCTTCGCAATGAGAGGTCTGTATGGCTAACTCTCTTTCTCCCTCTCTCCCCAATCTCTCCCCTCAGCTTTTTATTACAGATAATCTGCACTCGCAAACCTTCCATTTTTCTGCAATTGTGCGATTCTTAATCATCTTTATTAGTCCATAAACATTGTTTTCTTTTTCCTATTTTTAGCCCTTTTTTATTGCTGAGGCTCTCGACTCCTTGAGGGGGCAACATGAGTTTCAAAATTATGATGAAGCTGGGATTCAGAGTCAGAGAGGCCTGCTGATAAGAGAGCAAGGCATTATGGGAATGGGGTAATAGAGTCCCTCACATCCACAAATACACATCCATGCTAATAGACATGCAGATCCACACACACACACACACACACGACAAAATGCAAGCACTCAGATTCTGCCAGGCCACATGTGTCTGATAATGAAATGACGCCTCTGATTGGCTGGCAGGCAGAATAATGGCCTGGATCCACGACACCTGTGGTGGGGTCCACAGCAGTGCGAGCCTGCTGACTACCAGCAAGCAGACCACAATGCATCAGGTGTGCTGGAGCCTCTGTGATTGGCTGTCCCTGGCCAGAAACAGCGTCAGGTGCACCAGCAAGCCTACCCTGATTGGTTGAGTCGAACCCAAAAAGCTGCGGGTGGGAAAGAGCTGTTTTTATTGGCTGCTGCTGCCCAGTGCTGCTGGTGAATGGGTGTCTGGCTGGATGGCAGTGGGACAACTGGGAGCGCTGACTATTTGAGAAAACCTTTTGTACATATGTAGGTTTTCGTACCCCCAGAATCTCAGCATTAGCTATCATTTAACCTGACTTCAGGAAGAGCAACATAACACACATAAAACAAACAACCAAAAACCCCAACAACAATTGAACTCCAACAGTAGATAATTTGCTCTCATTTCATATTAACCATCCAACAAAGAGGAATTTAAACACCCACTTTATGCTGTTCGCCAGAAAAACAGGTGTTGATGAACCTCAATCCTATTGTGCAACAATGAATAACATGAAGCTAATGAATAGGCTAAGCTCTGTACCTGGCACTGGGGAGGCCAGAACATACTGATTCCCTTTGTAGTAAACCCCTAAAAAAAAAACTCCAGGGCCCCCAAACACTCTCTCCTGCAGCAGTGTATGAATTATATATTGTACTATATATATAGAACATATGCCCGGCCCATATGGCCAGCCCTGAGCGAAAAAATCTCAAAGCCCTGCTTAATTAACATTTTAGAGGGAAGATTCGGAGGCGGGAGATTGAGTCAGTGACCTATTTGGAGTCCATCATCGCCCAATGCAAATGTGTTAATTGAGACAGATTTTCCTACTTCACAAATATGTGGAGTAAGGGATGCAGTGGAGGATTTTTATTTATTTATTTGTCTGAGCCATCTGATCTAAGGTATCTGTATAGGGTGTGTTTTAAGCTGCCTTTCTTTCTGCCTTCACTGACAAAAGAAGACACTTCTCTTTCCTTGGCTCACTCGCTCTCTCTTTGGATTTAGTGTTGACGACCATATGGCCAAATTCTTTGGAGGTGAGATCTCCGAAACCTGCTCTCGCACTGCACGTACACTCACACATGTACTTACAAACACACCTCTACAGAGCTTTGTGTATGAAAGGCCCTGATGGTGGAATTTGTTCTCAGGTGGCTCCATTTTAAAGCAAATGAATGGCATCATATCAATGATCCCCCCCCCCCAACCACACACACACATCGCCCCACCTTTCCTCGCTTTCTGTCTCTCTGCATATCACATTAGCAGTTACACACAAAAACACACACTTGCACACTAATTCACCACCTACACATAAAAACTTACACTTGTCACACACCTGGTGCAGCCCTCTCCTTGTTTCCACAAAACCTTTATCCTGGCCGCCCCACAATCATGAACCACAACCACTACCAGCACTGTTGATCCCGCTTTTTTCTTTTTTTTCTTTTTCTTTCTTTTAAAAAAAACATGGTTATTATAACCACCATTGTGTCTCAACCATGTTTTTATCATCGTTATTTGGTGCCTGAAAAGCAACACTGCCAAGTTTAAGGCACAGGATGAAAATAGGGGGATGGGGAGAGGAAAACAGTCCAGCCAACCTGCGTGAGATGGCAACCACTTCAAAGATGCCAGGCCGCACCGGCGATCTGTTCCATGGTGTGTGAGGAGTGTATGAAAGGCAGAAATGGCCGCCGTGTGAGTCCCTGCCAAAGCTACCTCGGGGAGAAACGTTGGAAAAATACGATTTTTCACACAGCCTTCTCAGGGGGGGGGTGACGAGAAAACAGGGAGGCTAAGAAAGAAGATGAGAAACCGAGGGCTGCATTAAAAAAATGATGGATGGATGGCTGAGTAGAGTGGGGCTAATTATTTCACTCCACTCGTGAGTCCTGAAGGTTTGCTTGGGTCAGAAGTACAGCCAAGACGCAGAGCTGAAGATTGCATTTGGCTTAATTGTGCAGTTGTGTTTTACACAATAATACTAAATGTTGGGATCCTGGATAAGGCGGGAGGCACATCGTGTGAAAAGCAAGTCTGTTCAAGAGGCCTGACTGCTGGTGTATTAAAAAAATAGATGCCTCGAGTAAAAAGATATTTGACTTGTGTGAGAAATTCATACAAGCTGGTTTGCGGTTTAATTTAAAGGTGAGGTGAGGTGAGGTGAGGTGAATCACCTGAATGCCAGATAGATAGTGAAACTACGCCAGCATTGCTTTATTAAAAAAACGTCTTTGTTGACCAAAACTGTTCGGTTAAACAGGTCTGAACAGAGCGCTCATTGTGACACACCCCAAGATGCACTTGGCCTGGCAACTTGCCTGTCAACTACTAATCTTGCTAGACAGGATAGGCTATGGCTGTGGCCTTATGATAATACCATGCCAGTTGTAACACTGAACTGAACCAGCAACATTTCACTGACACACTTGCTTGCACCAAACGCCCCCTTGGCACATTAAGTAACCCAATGCCACTGGCACCCTTCTTTGTACATGGGTCCTTATTCATTCTCTTATTTGAAGGTCCAAACCACATTCAACTAAGGTCTTGCTGCTCTGGTTAATGCATTTAACAATGAGGTTTGGGCTGGGACAATCAACCCATTGTGTCACACAAGGACTGATCCGTGGGGAGATTTTCTTGTGGTTATGGTTCTAATACAGTAGAGTTTACCACAAAGACTGGGAAGCATGGAGTTACACACACACACACACACACACACACACACACACACACACACACACACACACACACACACACACACACAC